ACAATGTTTCTTAGGAATAACACTTGTTAAAAGTTGATAACATTTATTAAGACGATCAAATGGTTCACTTATAAACACACAAAATGGTACACTGTAACTTGGTTGGTACAACGTTATTTGGTTAACAAAAAGGTGACCAACCGATGGTCAATCCAGGACGTTCCTAATAACTTGGTTCCCTTTAATGGTTTCGTATACATAGACTTGGTACCGTCTTATAACCGAAGTATACGGAGTCGTTCCCCAAAGTGACTTAGGTCACTTTTCCCTTACCAGGGAAGGCTGTGTGCTCCGAGTCGCTCCCCACAGCCTACTGAAGTCTAAACCCAAAACAGCTGGTTTATATAGACAAAAGTTGTTATGATGACGTAAGAGACAATCAGATACCTATTACGTCACAATCAATGCAATCAATAAGTTAGCGGGTTTTAACCAACAAAATTATACATACTAAAATAATAACGTTGTACCCATATAAAACATACAAAATACATCACTTTGTCTTTAAATTATACAAGTTAAGTTAATAAAGTCATATTAAATCAATTAGTGTTCATTTCTTTCGTTAACTATTCATTGACAAATATTTACGTAGTTTATAAACATCGGGTTCAGGGTCCATTTATTCCGAACTTGTAAACAAGAGTTAACCCGAATTTCACAGGTACACTTCGTGAAACGTAACATTACCCCCTTCTTAAGTCGAAACGTCCTCGTTTCGGGGTATTTAGTCAATGACTTATACATGGTCACTGGAAATGTATTTCGAGATACACGTTACACGGATTTCTTGTCATCTGTTTCACCACGAAACAGCTTCATCTGGTCATGATGCACATATTTTGGCTTCTCGGCTGTAGACTTTCTCACTTTGAACACCGAGTCGGACACGGCACGTAACACTGTGTAAGGTCCATTCCAATGAACCTTGAGTTTAGGACATCTTCCTTTGGTCCTTGACTTTGACGCAATCCACACACATTGTCCAGGGATGAACTTAATCTGGTTTGACTTGGTGCCATACTTTCGTTTCTGGTTCTTGGTTGCTTGTATCCATCGGGTGCAATAATCTGAACTGGTAACATTGTACTTGTTACCCTTCTTGGTCCGTGGTAAATGACCAAGGATATCAATATCCACTTGTTCCAGTGGTTCCCTAACTAAACATTGACCCGGTTTTCCTCTAGATCTGGCTGCCCTAGGTGGATTCTTCTTTGCTTCACCAACGGTACAATCTCTGATATGTTTCTCAGCGTCGTTTGTGTCCTCCTCGTCACAAGGTTCACATGGTCGTCGGTCCTTATTATCAGGTTGTACAGCTTCTTGTACGGAAATGCTGAACACAGGATTTTGTTCACTATTAAGGTCACATGGTAACTTTTTCTTTCCCAATGTAAGAGTTCCTTCACCCAAGTTCAATTGACAGTTATGCTGTTTAAGAAAATCAAGGCCTAAAATCATATGTGACTCAACGTCAGCGACGACCACTTTATGTTCCGTAACTTCCCCATTAACACAAATTTGAAGTTCGGTCTGACCTTCTGGTACAACTAAATCACCGTTTGTCATCTGTAAGTTACAAAATTTTGGAAATAATTTAGGTTTAACACATCTTTCTATCTCGTAATATTTCTTTGGGTGGATAACTGTTATAACTGAACCAGTGTCAATGACACAATTAATTTTCACATTGTTAACAAGTACGTCAATTGTTAATAAGTTGGTACTGCGAGTTTTTGAGTTCTTTATTCCAAAAACATGTGGCCTTTTCTGTTTTGAAGTTGACGTTTGGCCACCGACGTCAACTACTGTGCGTTTCCCTGGTCCTCGGGTTCTCTGGTCGTCACGTTTTTCGCGTAATCTGGTTTTCTTTGGTTTCTGAATTTTTCATTTTTTAGATGTCGTTGTAGTAATCTGCATTCTCTTTTGATGTGACCATCTTTCTTACAGTAGAAACAGGGACCTTTCTTGTAAAACTTCTTATCTGTGTTTTGGCTGATCATCGCTACTAGGTCTGTTTCGTAATTATTTCTGTCGGTATACGCTGGTTCCTCTGTCTGCATTCGCACTGCAACTTTATTTCGTTTCTCCCGTGCTTGTTGAAAGGCCTCATATTCCAATGCCAGTCGCACTGCATCTTCTAGGTCTTTAGGTTTTCCTTGAAACACTGCCCATTCCATTTCTTGGTCATTTAAACTTCCGATGAACGAATCTTTGGTTATCTGGTCGCGGAAACTTAGGGGTGCGTTCGGGTATGACATCCTTGTAAGTCGCTTTATGTCTTGCATTAATTCTGTGATTGTTTCGTTTTTCTTCCGTATTCTGCTCTTTAGTTGCGTCTTATAGATTTCTGTTTGGTTTTCTGGGTCAAATCTTGCTGCTAGTGCGGTAACAAGGTGACGAAAATTATACCGATATTCTGGTTGTAGGTCACTCAAAACGCTTAGTGCCGGGCCGCGTAGACTGGTAGCTAACTCTAATGCCTTTGTTTCTTCATTCCAGTGGTTCAATTGGGCGATCATGTCGAAATGAACTATATAGTCGTTCCAGTTCATTGTACCATCGAATGTTGCTGGTTTCCTCCCTTTAGGTTCCGGGGTACGCCTAAATCCGTGGTCATCATGGTCATGGGCTTGTCTTGTGTGACCATAATTTGGTACATCGTAATCTAATCTGTGCATGGTCGGCCGAAATTCGTTGGTCCTAGCATTGGTAGTATAACTGCGTGATACTGTCGGGTTTGACCAACTTGTCCTTGAATGTTCATAATCACAAAATTCGTCACATGAATTTTGTAGGTACGTATTTCTATATGGGCGATGTTCACTGTGTATTTGGTCATCTTCAGACGTAGTATTGGTACCGGATTGCACGCAATTTTGGTCTACATATTGGTTGTTAGCACTCGTTTGTCTCACTTGAGATTGTAATTGGTTCATTTGGGACTTCAAAGTTTTTAATTCTTGTAGAATTATGTGTAGACTGTCGTTGGTACATGTGTTGACTGCGCTGCCGTCTCCTATCTGGTCGTTGATTTTAACCCGCAAAAGAACTTCTTTGCTTGGAGTACCGTCGATAAACTGTGGTTCTTTTGGTTCTGTATTATGGTCACTTTCCACCACCAATTTTTCGTTCCTTGACATCTTTGTAATGGTTTAGGTTCACAATTCACAGAATAGCGGATCCCACCGCTGCCACCAATGTAACGAAACCGAGGATATCGTGTAATAAACTCGTGGGCCGCTATTGGTTTTTCTGGTCACTTGGTTGAGGTTTGATACTTCCGTTGGTCACAGTTTATGTAATGGTTAATAACCAATTTTTGGTCACTTAATTGGTTAACAGAATGACCAACTTTTGGTCACTTCTTTGGTTGACGTAATGACCAACTTTTGGTCACTTAATAGATTGACGTAATGACCAAATCTTGGTCACTTTAAACAATGTTTCTTAGGAATAACACTTGTTAAAAGTTGATAACATTTATTAAGACGATCAAATGGTTCACTTATAAACACACAAAATGGTACACTGTAACTTGGTTGGTACAACGTTATTTGGTTAACAAAAAGGTGACCAACCGATGGTCAATCCAGGACGTTCCTAATAACTTGGTTCCCTTTAATGGTTTCGTATACATAGACTTGGTACCGTCTTATAACCGAAGTATACGGAGTCGTTCCCCAAAGTGACTTAGGTCACTTTTCCCTTACCAGGGAAGGCTGTGTGCTCCGAGTCGCTCCCCACAGCCGACTGAAGTCTAAACCCAAAACAGCTGGTTTATATAGACAAAAGTTGTTATGATGACGTAAGAGACAATCAGATACCTATTACGTCACAATCAATGCAATCAATAAGTTAGCGGGTTTTAACCAACAAAATTATACATACTAAAATAATAACGTTGTACCCATATAAAACATACAAAATACATCACTTTGTCTTTAAATTATACAAGTTAAGTTAATAAAGTCATATTAAATCAATTAGTGTTCATTTCTTTCGTTAACTATTCATTGACAAATATTTACGTAGTTTATAAACATCGGGTTCAGGGTCCATTTATTCCGAACTTGTAAACAAGAGTTAACCCGAATTTCACAGGTACACTTCGTGAAACGTAACAATACTTTGAGCAAGCTCTTGTGTATCGAGTCAACTGAGATATATAATATACACTCCGTTTGCAGGTGACGAAGGTATATTGATGCATTAGTAAGGGAAGATGACGATAGAAAAGTTAAAGTCATCACGTTTATCATATAGCTTGGTTGTTAGATTACCATTAATGTCTTTTTCAAGTAAAATATCCAAGTATGAAGCAGATGTGTCAGACTCTGTCGTATCTTTCATCTCAAACTCACCAGAATATATCGTATCGACGTAGGAATGGAAATCACCATTGTTAATTGAAATACGTCGTCGATATATCTAAATGTCGAGTTGAAGGCACTATAATATATATAAACTTAGTTTCAAATATTTTACACTTAAGATTAAAAATAAACAAAACTTCTTCTAAAATAGTTTCTTGCAACCCCCCTTCCTTCACTCAAATACTATTCTCTAAAAAATATCTGTAGATTATACCTAAAGCATGGAATTCAAAATTAAGGAGGAACAGGACCTTTAGCTGAAAAAATTCCTGTCAATGAATTTTTTTCGTATTTTTTATATTACTAATATAATATGTACTTAACATTTTAAAACGGTCCTGTCATGGGATTTCTTGACTTATTTAAAAGATATCGCCCCACAAATACTGCCCTGTTTAGAGTTTGTATGGAGTTTAGATACTTCATGTTTACGGGCCCATAACGGAGTCCATAATGCGAATTTTACGCACAAACGATAAATATGATAGATAACACTATATACTCAAATATTTCATAATATTCATAGAGTTAAAATTATCTGAAAGCAATAGGACTCATTCGTCATATTTATGACGTCAGGTGTCGCTGGTGCACTAGAGGTGGTTACGTAAACGCTTTAATCACCGCGGCGCTTGTAACAATGTAAACAAATGGACGTGTCCTCGAACTTGGAGCCAAACGGAGGGGCTGAATCGATCTTTAATCGAGCTGTCACAACCGGGAGAAAGGTTTATCCGAATCTTGGGTAATTATTGTTTGTAAATAATATACATTTATGGAAACTTTCTAAGAATTATCGAGTGTAACATGCCTATATGACGAAGATAGTACAAGGACAAAGCAGTGAGTTTACAATCGACGTTTTTGTAGGTTGTCAGATGTATTATCATCTTTACCACTTACACAAACACTAGATTCAAATGGAATTAGTATATGATACGAATACTCATGGCGATATTTTGGTTTTTTTTTTTTGTTTTTTGTTTTTTTTTTTTTACATGACAATCATTGCACAGCTAGGTTATGTAGATCTACACTGGTTACATACTGTTAAAAGAGCAACGTCCCAAATGATCATCAGGGTAATTAAGTGCAACGTAATATTCATTGCAAGGCAAATACAAACTAAACATTCATTTTATTTTAGTTCACTTAAAAAATTAATGATAATAAACAAAACTAAAACAATCACAAACATCATATTTCAACCCTCACCAAAAGACTCTCCAGATCCTACATAGAGATACATTAAATGACCATTCATTGATATTGGATAAATATAATTGATTTCCAATCAGCCTCATTTGTTTGTTTTTTTTAAATTAAAAAAAAAAAATTGAGACTGGTACGCTTTGATGTAAGTCGCCCACATTTCGCAGTGGTTAGAGTGTCTGCCTTGTCTACAGTCGCCAAAGCTAAGAGCTGAACCTAATGTCGCAGGTTCAAATCCACTGCATTACGTGTCCTACAGATGAGACCGTCTAAACCGTGGTCCTGTTTTGCAGTAAGTGTTCGCACTAAAAAGATCCATCCCTGCTCAATGGCCCAGAGTGCCGAGAATAGGTATATTTGCAGTCTGCCATCAGCAAATGATGGTGTCTCCGTATGAGTAAAACATTCTTAAGAGGGAAATTAGACAACAAACAAACATAGATTTGATATGTGCCCTTGTACTATATAGTGCATATGAATAATTGTGAAATTTATTTGTTCTGTACATATTTTTTTCATAGTCAGTAGCTACTTGTATACTTAGAGCATTACATCTTTGTTATAATAAAGGTAAAAATGAGTACAAATATTTTAAAGTTATCATTTGCTAGGTCCATTTTGTACAGTACCGGTATTTGTGTTTCTATAATGTGACCCTCGACAACTTAGTTTACATTTACAATTTCATTAAGTCGGAAAGATATACTCAGTAATTAAATATAACCTGCTGCATGTAAAAATAAATAAAAGGAATATATACATGTAGTAGCTGTTATTGTACAACTAAATACAAAAAACATAATTAATTTTACAGTCCTCTGAAAAAAAGAATTTATTATCAGGACTATGGATTGACCTCACTTAAAGGCTGACTGTATATTTGTTCCTAAATAAAAGCCTATACTGAGTAAATTGGTTATTTTTCAGTTATTTAAGAATATATTTTTTTCATTTCATTTTATTTAGGAGATCAGCAGGTAAAATAAGAAGTCAAAGCTTACAGGGAGCTTTATTATGGCTGGATGGTACATGTTACATAAAAATTCTATTTTTCCCCATCTAATTCATGAAATGGCATCCATCCTATTGTCAGTGCTGTCAGGGAAAAAGATGAACTGGTATGTAATTGCATTTGTATTTTTTTTAATAATAGAAAGTACTCATAAATTACACCTAAGCTAGGCCATCCTTAAAAAATTGTTTGTTTGGAATTGCCACCTGAAGGGTTTCAGACACAGGAGGGAGGGAGGGAAATTACTTTTTTTTTAATTGAAAACCTAATTTTACATAGATCAGACACTATATATCAGTGTTTTGTATGGTGCATGTGATACATGTAATGGGCAAAAAAAAAAAATTGATTAAATATAAAAAAGTCTTCTTACTTTTGGTCAATAAAATTTTTTCAAGAGGGGGCATTTCAATGAGACGGGAGGCAATTCCAAACAAACTATAATTTTATTTTGGCCTAAACAATGCTTCAATGCTTCCAATTTTAATTCTAAAAAAAATGCATTTCCTTTTATTATCACTAGGTGTATTACAACCTAAGACAAAGTGTTGAGATGTTTGGCAGTCCTATACATTCACAGAGAAAATGTTCTGCTGGAAATATGGGGCAACATTCAGCCTGTACACACATAGACTAGGTATGCTCATGCTTGGAAAATTCTCTAATAGAATACAGGTACAATAATCTTGTATGCAGCATCTTCAGGCTTTTCACAAACTTACAATTAAGGATTGATTAAGAATTGTATTTTAATTTGAGAAGTAGATCAATTTTATTTTAAAAATTAAAAATATTTAAAGACAGTTTAATTTACCAAAAAACAAGTGCAGTCATGATAATGCTAATTACTCTATACTAATTGCTACTCATTCTTATTTGAAGGGATTCCACCAAAAACTGAAAGAGAAAAGAAGCTGATGTACTCAAACAATCCCTGGCAAGAGAAATTAATTTGTGAAATGAAAGAATGCACAGACATAACATTTTAATATTTGTTTGTACAAAAATTGACACTGAAAGGAATTTACTGTATGTGTACTTAAAATAGCGAGCTTCATATTTTAGTTGTTTTTGAGCAGACGAGGATGTGCTAATTCATAAATACCACTAAAAATTCATTTATGAATAGAATATACGACACAAATATTTGTAGCATTAATTCAAGATTATGCCAACAACCATATCCATTGATTGCGCTAAATTTTGAAAACACCAAGTTATGTACATGTACAGTATTTTTCCAAAGCTTGAACTTTTTTCTGTTAACGATTTTGCTTATTTTATTCATGGCTGTAAATAAATAAAACAAAAAAGATTGTATTAAATATTTATACATATTTATTCCTTTCGTACTTAAATTTGAGCATGCAAGTACAATATTCTTGGAAATCAATGCTTGTGGATTTGACGAGTCTCTCTTGCCCATGGATTTTGTTAACATATTGATTGAATCTACATTATCAATGAGTTAAAATCCACAAAATTACATACCCATGAACAATTTTTCTTGTCCATGAACATTGAACCCCACAAATTAACTTTATTAAAAAGATTCCACAGAATTCATAATACATGTACAATCATTTTTAATTCTTTTTCAAAGCAAGCAAAAAGATTTTTTTAAATTTTTCTAAAAATTAAATGTGTCAAAAATTCTTAAAACTATATACTTGTGTTCTGAAATTTAAAAAGTAATAGTTGAACATCTTCTAAGCACATCTCACTTAATAGCCTAATCATGCTAATAGCTTCTACAATATGTACCAATATGAGAAAGAATCATTCGGACAGAGTCTTCAACAGCTTAAATGCTTGCATTGAATTTTTCATATCTTTGTTAAAGAATATGGCTGATCTTAAAGAAACATCCGAGTGACTGCTAGTTATCACTGGGGATACTGGTCTAAACTCCATGATGCACACTTTAGTTCACAACTCTTGAGGAACAGCTCAGTCTTTGTACATACTTCGTGTCTTGACTGCAGCCACGGAGCTGTTGGACTTGTATTGTTGGAGTTTTAAAGTCCAAAACTGGATGTCAAGTTTACTGCATCCTTTTTTAGTCTACTCTTGTCTCCTGTAAACAAGGAACTGTGCAAATATTATTTTTGTTTTGTTATTGTATTGAGTTAAAGTAGAATATTATATAATCAATATTTATCCAGGGAAAACCAAAGACCCTACTCGTACTAATCAAGCGGGGAAAAATATCTCATTATTTCTGGTGTTGAAATTTAAAATATATAATAAAATTAAACGTTGAACTAAAATCATAAATTGCAGTACTTATTCCATTTGCTAACAAATCAAGTTAATTGTATGGGGACATAAACACATCATACACTCTATTTGTACATTTTTAAAAGAAAACTGCCACTGTACATTAAATTAATCAGAATTAATCCTATTACATTTACCAGTGCTGTGTCTGTCTGTTTAACAACAAAATCACAAAGCAACAAAAGCTTTAGACATTTTAATTAAATTTCAAACTTTTGAAATAATATTTCAAAAATAATATTAATTGCCATGTGTCAAGCTATTAAGACACTATTAATATAAATAGTTCAAATGTCCTTTGATGAAAAAAAAAATAAAAAGGGAATTCACTTTTTTCCATTTAAGAAAAAGTTAAAAAGTCACAAAGTCAATATGTTTTATACTATATATAGTAACTCATTTTTATAGTTAAATCTATACGATTTAATGACATATACTTCGTAAAATACTAATTAAAATTAATCAAAATCAATATTTTACCAAAAATCTAATCCTTAATATCGCCGACTCCAAAATTCTGGTGACAAGCGACATCGTGTTTACCAAGTCAGCTGATCATCTTCATGACCGATTTAGCGTCACTTTTCGTCTCAAACAAATGTCTGGATCTGAAAATAATGAGTGTCCGCATCCTCTACAACATCCTAGCACACCACAGAGGGTTGACATTCTTTACAAATTAATTAATTTGGAGGTATACGTCCAGGAGAAACCACAGTGTCTCGCCACGCTACCATTTGTTTACACTCAGTCAAGCGCTTGACAAATTCAAACGTTTGCGTAACCACCTCTAAAACCGCAGCGCCACCCGACGGTTAATGACGTGAATGGATACTATTGTTTTAATTTTATATAGTATTTGGATGGGATAATTTCTGCATGTTTCAAGGCAGGTTCAACGTCAAAAACCTCATTTGGAAAAAAATTCTGTCAATAAATATTTCTAAATTTACGATTGAATGTCAGTCCTTCATCGTAATTATTTACTGCATAAATATCACAGGGTGAAGCTTACCTCAATATCGCACAGGACATCGTTGAATTAGACGTAAGCATGATAAAAACGCTTCACGTTTGTATTTTCCGAGTGCGGGAAATCAATTGTGACGTTAAACGTAAATATAAACATTCAAAATTATCTAAATAGAGAGAATCTCTGCTACTTAACACGAAAAAATATTAATTCTAAAAAATCTGCTTCAGAAATTTATCGCGATACATTGATTGTGACCTGTTTATTATGAAATAAAACTGATCATGACGGGTGTGTGTACTTGATCTCGCTGCACTGAGAATTCAAACACTATGTCTATGACGTCACTGACGTCAGACTGCAGGGTAAAGAGAAACAAATGTGTGGATTGGGCAACTTCACATATCTAAATGATGGCAAAATCTTTAAAAATTTTATAAATAATAATTTCTAAAATTAATTGTTAAAAAACAATTTTAGAATTTAGAATAAAACTACACAAGAACTATTGATTTTAACAACGTTTAACATGTGTACCTTCACCGATTATGACGTGATATGTCTTTTTAGTCATGTGACATGTGTCCTGTCTCCCCTAAGAAAAAGATTATGACGTACATGTTGCACAAGGTGACGTCATAATAGAATAGACGAAAGGTTATGAAGCATTGAGAATGGAGAAAATATTGCCGTTTTTATACAGTAGGAACAGTCAGCATAATAATAACAGTAGTGTTGTGTTTTGCGTGCAGTATGCCTAAATAATAGTCAGCCTCCGGCTCGTGCACCATGTGTCAAACCCTGACTACTATTTAGGCATAGTGCACGCAAAACACAACACTATTATATAATTATAATATAATTAGGCATGCAAGTAGACTACACTGAGATACATAATTATCAGTTTTGTTTTTAAATTTGATGATTGATGTTGCCATGGTAACTAAAATTGAAAATTCCTACAGGTGTAGTCATATTGCAATCTTGCCAAAAAAGAGACTTAATCAAGGATCATTATTCTATTTATTGCTTTTGTAAAGTTTTAAGCCCCAACTGCCACTCTTCCTTTATTATAAGTACAAACCAGTAGAGCTACAGTCTCGACAGAGACTTCTGGTTTACTTTTGAAAAATGTTTGAAAATAAAATGCGTTATTTCTATGGGCAGTGAAGCAGTCACAACCTACATCATGAAAATTGAACAGTTTATTGAGGACTCGCGCAACTGATAAAATTCATGCATCAAATCCTACAGTCAGCGTTTGTGTCGACCACGATAATAAATTAATAGCTTAATAATGCTATCTTGACCCTGTATATTGACTTTCATTCAAGTATTGAATTACTGCCATTCAAAGATAATTTCCAATGTCAATGTGTGGAAATTGCACATAATCTAGCGACATTTCGACCAAAAAAATGTATATAGTTATGTGCATAGTTATCTCTTCACAGAAACATTATCTATCATAATCTTATTATACCCCTGCTTGAAAAATGGGAGGGTATATCTGATCGGAATGTCTGTAAGTCTGTCTGTTACGCTTTGGGGTGCCCATCTCTTATCCGCAAATCCTCTTATACTACTGAATGAAATTTAATATTTCCACAGATTCTATATTACCGATAATGCAATTGTGCATGTCCCATTTTACTTTTTAATCTGATACAAATTTAGGGTTTCCCATTGTTAAACATGGATGCTGTCATTCTTTCCATAATATTGAAGGGTACCCATCTCATATCATTGAATAAAATTAATGATACACTCACTGATTTTTGATTACATAATGCCATTGTTCACCTTGTATTCTACGTTTTGATCTTAAACTGAGTTCGGGTCTCCCAGAGCAAAAACACTGATGAACATTACCATTAGGGAGGTGGGTATCATTAAGTGAGCTCAGTGATGACATAAAAGTAAAAAAAGAGGTACACTGTGTTATAAAGAATCTGTGAAAGTATCTTTAAAGATGAGTTGCGGATAAGAGATGGTTACAGTGTACCCATCAAAATTATAGAAAGAATTCAATGACTTGGTCTGGGAAACCCAAAACATGTGTCTGATTAAGGATTTCCATCCCTAATTGGACCTAATTCCCTATCCTTAAATATCCGTCAAGTATATAATACACTGATATTATATTAAAGCATTTTATAGTGGAAAAGGATTGCCCGCGAGAAAGTTTTAAAAATGTCATTAATTAAGCAGTAGTTTATTAAAAAAGATTGCATTGAAGTCTAGGGGGAAAAGCGTTTTTTCAAAATAAAACTTCAAATAGTTTGAATATCAAAGATGCATTTAAACATTAAAAATAGAATGACAGTTGAAAACAATTTTTTTACCGGCTAAATATTTTTTAATTGATTTTTTTTTATTAATTAAAGAAGGGGGGTTAACTCTTACCAAAACTTAAGGTCATACATTAGGACACATCCCACTATACATACTAATAGTAATAAATGGTAAATATGTCTAAATAAACTGAGTATTCAATGCCTACATATCAGTTATGTATTCAATTTCACTGTATTTGTTCCCATTAGGGATTGAATACCTTAAAAAAAACAAGAGGTGGACAATGGCACTATAAAGATTCACCATAACATTATTTAATCAAAAACATGATCAAAACGATATTATAAAAACAAGTTATGTAAGTTGATTAAAAATGAAAGCTGCAAATTATCTTCGTCATTCACCAATCATTTCCAAAACGTCATTACTGAATTATTGAATCAAAACTTGATT